ATTTTCATTATCTGATAAATATAAATGTTCTGTCTTGAAAACACAAATTATACTCTGAATCTAGAAATACTAACTGATTCTGTAAAAGGCAGCTTTGGTGCATTTAAATAATTTATTTTTGGTAGTTTACTTTTAAATAAATATTGTACATTATATATAAATCCCAAAAGAAGTGTCTGTTGCATGTAGGCACTTGGGAAGCAGCGCCCCCACGGATTACACCAGCTCAGTACACCATGCAAACTCTTTTAAACAGTAAAACAAAAATCATAGACACTGACATGAGCACATGTACAGTACAGAGCTTTGCGTTTATTTTCATAAGAAACCATTCAGGATGGGGTTGCGACTCCGGAGGCTATGACGTTGCAGCCACATCACCGGAATCATTTTTTAGTACTTCTATTTCTTCCTTCCTCCCTGAGAAATAACTAACATCATTTCCACTCCATAAACACTAGAACCCAACCATAAGACTTGATTTATCCCTCTCTTCAACTATTATTCAATTTCATTTCCAACTTGAATCTACTTGCTGTTTATAATTTCGGTTATTCTTGTTTATAATTTTTATCTAAATATTATGTAACTTTCACAATTTTCTATATCCTTTTGTATATGGTTCGTTCTAGCCCTGAAGAAGAACTGCGAGTCTAAGTCGGGTCGAAATGTTGGCTTTTAATAAAATGGTTTTGCCACTATTTTAGTTTCTTTATGATTGACACCCTGGACCATCTCCTTCCTCTAGATTATTGTTACAGTTTTCGGCTTTGTGTGAATTTTCTCCAAATTTACCACAATTGATTTACCACAAGTGAAAAATGAAGCCTACAGAAAGAAGGTTCAGCGTCCCACAAGACTCTCCCAAGAAACATATCGAAGAACAAGACGCGAAGAGAAGAGATTATTCCGCGGAAAGAGAAGAGCTTGGGAAAACAAGAACATGGAGGATATAGAGGCATTGCGCGGCCAAAATGAAAGTCGGCTGTTCTTTCAGAGAATAAACGAGGGTAGGGCAGCTTCCAGGCCCAGAGTGATGGCATGCAAAGACACGAATGGATCTCTTTTAAGCCACAAAGATGACTTACTAAGGAGATGGGTACAACATTTCAAAGACGCATTAAACAGAGGAACGGTGCCTGGAGAAGTAGGAGTAATGAAGGAAGACTCCCTGAATTCTATTGAACCCCCGGATGAGGAGGAAATGGAAAATGCCCTGAGGAAATTGAAAAATGGAAAGACGCCAGGCCCGGACGGAATCCAGTCAGAGCTGTTGAAATGTGGAGGTGAAGAACTTAAGAAAGCTCTGCATGATTTAATGCTGACCATCTGGGAGAGGGAAGCTATGCCTACGGAATGGGCAACAGCCATTATCTGCCCAATACATAAGAAAGGAGATCAAACAGAATGCGCTAACTATCGAGGAATCTCACTCCTTTCGTCTGCTTATAAGCTGCTCTCTAACATTCTTTTTGAGAGGATTCTCCCGTATTCTGAAAAGGAACTGGGGGAATATCAGGCTGGATTTCGAAGAGGACGCTCAACCACTGATCAACTGTTCTCTCTGAGGATGATCCTAGAAAAGATTATGGAGCATAAGGTAGTCACCCACCATTTATTCCTAGACTTTAAAGCAGCATACGACAGCGTTGATAGAACGCAACTATACTGTGCCTTGGAGGAGCTAAGCATCCCTTAGAAGCTCGTACGCCTAATCAAGATGACCATGGACAGCTCGAGATGTGGAATACGCGTCGGTTCTGACGACTCCGAAGAGTTTAAAGTGAGCATTGGGGTTAGGCAAGGGGATGTCCTCGCCTGTCTATTATTCAACTTGGCAGAGGAGAAAGCTGTAAGAGACTCCGGTATTCAGACCAACGATATAATCTTCAATCGCCTGACACAGCTTCTTGGTTTTGCTGATGATATTGACATAATAGGTAGGTCTGAACGGGCTCTCAGAGAAGCATTTATAGGCCTTGAAGCAGCTGCAAGACCACTTGGTCTAGAAGTCAACGAGAGGAAAACTAAGTATATGAGAGTTGGTGGTGAGGGGGATCTGGACTCTCCATTTGAGGTAGGTTCTTTTAAGTTTGAGAGAGTGAAAAGTTTTATATACCTTGGGTCTGAAATTAATAGCAAAAATGACATGGTTCAAGAGATACAAAGAACGATCACGGCTGCCAATAGATGTGTCTTTGGACTTGGCTGACACTTAAGAAGTAGGTACCTCTCAAAGAAGACCAAGCTGATCATATACAAGACCCTTGTTTGGCCTGTTTTGACATATAGCTCAGAGGCTTGGACGATGACCAAAAACGATGAGATGAAGATGAATGTGTGTTTGACCGAGGAGTCCTCAGAAGGATTTATGGTCCAGTAAAGGAGGGTGATGTCTGGAGGAAAAGAAAAAATAGGGAGCTCAGTTCTCTCTATACAGACATCGACGTAGTCACCTATATTAAACTGGCCAGACTAAGGTGGGCAGGGCATGTGGCCAGAATGAGCACCGTTGAAATACCAAAGAAAATAATGATGGAGGAGCTGCATCTCGTAAGACGGGTAGGAAGGCCGAGGACGAGATGGTTGGACAACGTGGCCTATGATGCGAGAACCCTGCTTGGTGTACGGAACTGGAGAGCTGCAGCAGAAGACAGAGCCAACTGGCGGAGGCTCTTGGAGGAGGCCCAGTCTCGGTAACGGGATGTCGTGCCACACATGATGATGATGATGATGATGATTTTACAGTGTTTACCCATATGTCTAAAAGTAAAGAAGAGGTTTGTGTTCCTACAGTCTGATTCTAATTAAAATGAAATCTAGTAATAGTATATCTGGGAGTTAATTTTTTCAAGATCAATAATGGATTAGGCTTATTCTCATAATTTATTTTTATTTTTTAATTCTTTTAACCCTAACTACTCCGAGATTCAAGTTCCCTAACTATTTCATCAGTTGAGCAGTTTAGTAATTCAAGGACATACACGACACTACATGAAAAATTTAAAGATTTGTGTAACTTGAAAGTTACTGGAAAATTTTGAAAAGTTTTTATAATTCCTAAGTTTATAAAATCTTTTTCATTATAAACTGTTAATAAAACAGTGCCATTTTAAAGAAACTTAACATTTACTTGGATTCAATAGCTTTTAATAAATCTACCCACACTGAATGGACTGAAATGTTTAAACCTTCTATTAACCGGGTTTTCATCTATGTGTATTAAAACACATTTTTTTAACCACTTTTCTTTGGTTTTTAAAATAGATTTGTTAATCGCAGGTGGTTGAGGATCTATATCACTAGCCAATATCTTAAATCACGAAACTATATAATAAATAAATTTAAGACTAAAAAACTATCTTCTTTTAAAATAAAAATGGCCTCAGGACAAATATGGCATACATTTGTTCTTCATTAAAAAAGGTTGTGAAAAAATTAGTAGCAGTATAAATTAAGGTGGTCAAAGGTAGAGGAACATACTTATAGAGAAAGCAAAATTTGAATTTGATAGCTCCATTCTGCAATCTATGAATTCTACATTTGTGTGATTTCAGGAGCTATTTTGTTGATGTTCTTCCTTAGTTGTATTCTTAATCTTTCATTTAATTAAATTATACTTCAATTGCTTGATTTTTATTCTCATAACCTTTATAAAAAGTTGTAAACTTTAATGTTGATTGTAATCCTCAAATAATAGTGGTGAAGACAGCATACATTATATCAGTAGCTCTCAAATTAGATGACATGCCACCTAAGGATTTAATTTCAATATTTAAGGTCAAGATTGTCAATTTGGTGGATAAATAATAAACATTCTAAAAAGTAATAATCTTATATTTAATTATTAAATAATTTAAATTAAAATCATTTGAATTTAAGATAATTTTTGGGAAAAATTGCAGTTGCTTTATATTCATTGCTCGAAAAAATGGATTACTTTTACTGGTTACTTGGCCTCTTGGAATTGGATAGACAATATATTTTTGTTTGTGATTGGTTATAATTATAAACTGTATATCAGTAGTTTTCTTTCCCATTTCCAAACCCTTTCTTGCAAATAATAGCACCATATACTTGTAGTAGACATCCCCCGGTATTTACACCTATATGTGACATTGTGTGAGGGAATATATAGGAATGTGAGGTTGCACTGTGAATTGTACTCAATTATGCAGTGGACAAATTATTCATGGAAATGTCTCATATCGATAAACAATCGATGAAGAAGGACGCTGGAAAAAGGTCAGAGCAGGTAGCTAGCAACAGCTGGCAGAAGGACGCCGAGAAGGGCACTTGAGGCTTGGACAAGAAGACGAGAAGAAGTCATCTGGGAAGAGAGGCCTACTTCATTGAAGACTAAGAATATCAAGCCTACAGTTATAAGACTTCTATAAATTAATTTATTACAGTTGTTAAAATAAATTGTTTTATTATACAGGAGTGAAAAGTCATTTTATTTAGTTGTCCTATATGCCACACAATTGAAGAATAACATATCAGTTGAGTCAATTCATTTAAAGTGTGTTTACTAAGTCCCACATTTCATATATATATTCTTATTGTTTCTTCTCATTTAGTGTCACAAAAGTATTACATTAAATTCCCAACAACAGTTAAACACCCTCAAAAAGTCTATATCCAGTGCCGGGGTTTTGTTTTAATATTCAGGAGTGTAAATAACCTAGTACCCAGACTAAGCGGATGGCTATTCGCTATTTCCGCCAAAAACGTTATTTACAATTAACTTTTAACAAGTTATTTACCTACTGTTTCAAGATACCAACAAAGGGTGATTAGTGATGGATCAAGAATATAGTATTTAATGGTCTAATTCAATCACCATTAATTATTACCCATCATTAGTACCATTAATATTTAAAAAATAAATATTAATGAAGTAGTCAATATAATTCTGAAATTTTAAATAAGTTATCCTGTGGTCTATGGTTTAGGAATGAATAGGATTTTCTTTATTGTATGAATAAAATTAAACCTTTCCACCAATTCACACAAATGTTTAATATAAAAATATTTTTACAATGATTATGAACTTCTCACATCAAAGATTGGTATTTCCATGTCTGGTTGTTAAGTTCAGTGAACAAATAAAGATATAATGTAACAATATGATTGAATTTCTTCAACATAAACTTACAATCATTCTATCATAAATGATTTGAAAATCAAACAATATGATCATTACCTGATCGAATCAAGAACCACTATGAACGAACTGTAATGTCTAAAAATATCACTTACAATCTTTTTCATCATATTTGTTAGGAAGAATTCGTTAAATTAAACTACTGGTATAAAATTATTCTAACTATGCTAAATTGATATAGGTTTTGCTAAAATTTCCAAAATATGATGTCAATTTCTAGATGAATAGAAGGAACAGTTTCTACAAGAATTTCAAAGAAGGCTACAAATTTATAATATTAAAAAACAAAGTCCATCCTATAAGGATAACAAATATATTACTGGAGGATTTGCTATGAAGTACATAAGAAGTATTTTTGAATAACACAAATCAACAGAATAAAAAAAAAAGTCGTTTCTTATCCTTTACAAGGCACATTCCTTATATTACTAATAATTTATACAGTTAATATATATATTTATAATTATAGACTATATATATATATTTTACATAAAAGACATTCGGAGATATCTAAATTCTAAAAAGAAATTTGTAACAAAAAATTATCTAATTGTAATTTGGCAACAACAACTTTATTAAATTTACAGAATGAAATAGTTGGGATATGTCTTTGATATCCATTCGATATGACTAAATACCATCTTACATATTATGATATGTATATACTATTATACATATTTACAATTTTAACAATGATGTTTTAAATTTATATTATTATTTTTTTCATGATTGGCATTTCATATTATTTTTCTTAAGAATCTGAGAAGCCAAAATCCACCAAGGTATGAATGACTACCTTATAACACATTATTTGGACAATTCGTCATTATTACTCACAAAATGTTTTAAAGAATCACAGTGGAGCAACTCAGATATTATTTCACAACAAATTACTTCATTATTATCAAACTAAAATAATTATAATAAAATGTGGTAAGTAACATAATCTAATTTGAGCATTTAAAGGAATGCATTGGTAATAAATAATATATAAGAATACATACTACTTTTTTTAAGAGGATAAATAAAATCATTTATAAATAGATATCCTCAATCAATTATTTTTTAAACACTTTAAGTTACACATAATTGATAATTCAATTATAAATAATACAAATATAACTTTATTTCTTCAATTAATAAACTCATAATCGTACGGCAGGAAAGAATACTGCAATATTTGATAACATTATCACCTCATATTAAATAAAATTTAATCAAAAAGTTTCATATCATCCAATAAAATATGTCATTTCACAGCCAAAGATACATATGTCTTTATCTTATACATACTTTATTCATTTTTACAATTATTATTTAAGGAAAAAATTGATATATTCAGTGGTATAACTATTAAGTTAATTTCTATTTTCAATAAAAGAACCATTATGATGAGCAGATCAGCTGTCTGTTGGAAAATATGTATCAAAGCGCAGTTCTGACCAGGAAGATGATACGAGGGAGGATAAAACGATCAAAATGCCAGCCTGAGGAGCCTGTCGTGGCCTGGTGGGGGACGGATTGGAAGCCCCCCGCAATGCTGGCACTAGCTCTGCTCTGGTTGAGCAGAGCTCAATTTGGAAGCGTTGAAGTTCTCGAAGCGCCAATGCTGCTCCAATGCCCTCAGATTGCATTCGGCCATCAACAGTCGCTGCTTGCTCTCAGAAATGGCCAGGCATTTCTTGCTAGAGCCATGCTGTATAGTGTTGGTCTGTAATAAAAAAATATTTATTTTAAGTTATAATTAATCAATCCAAATAACATGGACAAGTTCATCAACCTTTAAATGAAAGAGATTTAAAACCAGTCATTTTATCTCTTTATACTGAAGGTAATCTTACTAAGCAGGATTGAGACAGTGAGAGTTTTCCTTAAAAGGCAGTTACATGAATCATAATCTGAATCTTTTAGACCAGAAATCCCCAGAAACACAAATGGATTCATGGGCCACTTTGATGACTCAAAGATGTTAGCAGACCATACCATGAACCATTTGGTGAATTGAGACTGGTTTACAAGGGAGGAGAGAAAGATAGGTAATACCCTAAGTCGCATAGACCCATTTGACTCCTTTCTGTGAATAGCAAAAGTCCTAAAAAGCCAGTCTATGACCATAATATCCAGCCTATGAAAAAAAAAAGTAAGGGGACAGATGATATTCTATTGGTGCACATAAATGTTGAAGAAAGAAGGGAGCAATATGTCATGATCTTACTCTTTGACATATCTTCCATTAATGACAGCATCTGGTGTCCGTGTTTATTCCACTAATTACCCATATGCCCTTTTGAGGAGCTAGCGACTTGATAAATATGTAAGGATTAGAAGTAATTTCTATGAGATTGTGAGACCATCCAGATGGTGTGCGCTCAGGGCTCTATTCTAGATGCTGCTAATCTTAGTTTTTGAACCGTTCTTGGGAGCATCAGAAGAGTATTGTTTTTCAGTAATGACGAATTTTGATGACTTGGTTATTATAGTGAGACCAGCAGAGCAGATAGGGTCAAACAAGCGGCAGAAAGATGTGCTAACTTGATAGATGCATGGTGCGTAAGTAGAAGAATGATGATGGCTACTGCCAAAACCTAAGCTATCTTTCTAAGGGGCACAACTGAGACAGATCTTATTGATTCGGAGATCCAGAGAGCTATTACTAGTACTGGTGGTGTGGTCAACTATCTTGGCTTAAGATTTGGAAGGATGTTTAATATAACCCCTCATTTTGATTACTTGGTGAGCAGAATGACAGTTGCCCTAAATGGCCTGTCATGTTGATGAAGCCTTCTGAGGCCTTAGATACTCAGCGAATCAAGCTCTCTACAAAAAGACATTCTCTCACGAGGCGTTACAGATCTTAGTAGGGGAGATACCTCTCAATCTCCTCCTACACGAACATTTAATCAAATATGCTTACAGGTTTGGCAAAGATTCCAGAGGACCTTCAAGTGATGATTGAGTAACAACCTAATAGGTGGAAAACTATATTGAGAGAAACCACTGTTGAGAAGTGGAACATTTGGTGGGTCACTACCATTAAGGAGACCTGAGGAAGTATTTTCCAACAGTCCAATCTCAACTAGCTCCCAGATTGGTCCAACCAAATATCGGTCATTTATGTTCCAGCTGTGATGTCCCGGAAATTGCCAAACATGTGATTACTGACTGCACTGCATTAAAGTCACTGAGAACCAAGCTAAAGAAGACTACTGGTCTCTGCAGCCACATCGAACATGACTTTCCTCTATTCATTTCTGCAGATAGCTACCCTTACTACAAAACTGCTGTGTGTAGTTTGAATAAAATAGTAGATGGGACCCATTTCAATATGGTTGTAAGACGAATAAGAGAAAAATTGCCACAATTTCAATCTGGGATGACTTCTGGATAGAAATATAGGAAAAGGATTTGTCTCAAATTTTATTGCTTTTTTTTTTTTATACAATACAATTCAATTCCTGTATTGTTGAAAAATAAGAGAGAGAGAGGGAAATAAATATTAATAGTTTAGTGAATGAAAGTTTAACTGCTGGTTTTGCATTCTGATTTCCCAAAGCTTGCTTCTGATTTCCTCCTCAATAGATTTTTCTATGAAAATTATAGATATACAAATTACATTAATATTATGATGACAAAGCTATACATTAATAAAAAAATCTTATACCTCATGATTGTAGATCCACAATTGGTTTCCTTTTGAACCATGGCAAGGGTAGAGGATTACATCTTGCCCAGCATAATCAAGGCATGCTTCATCTCTTCTTATTTCACCTTCTTTACTCAACATCCAGTACTAGAGAAAATGATTTTGTAGAAAGAAAATTATTAAAAATCATTTAAACAAAATACCAATAATTTTATTTTTATTCAACAATCAAATGATTCAACATTTAATAGATACCTATGTTTTATTTTATTTTCATGCGTTATATATGAAATTATCTTGTTTCAAACTACAATTTACTTACCATTTTTATTAATTTTTTACCATCAGTTTTTAACCATTTTGAAATTTGATTTTATGTTAATATATCTATATTTTACTGAGATGAATTTTAGTAACTTAAAAAGATAAATAATTGCTTTAAAAATATACTGCTTTATGTTTAAAAAAACTGTGAAATCTCATTTGTTTTCAGTAGAGAAATTAAATAAGAAGAATATTTTTTTAACATATTCTCCTTAACAGCTGGGTTGTTTCATATGAAATGTCCATTTTCAGAGTTAAATTTGCTTCATTAAAACAATATATTGATTAAAAATATATTTCAAATCAAGAGCAGTCCAAAAACACTAATTAAAATTTGACCAGCAATTTGAATTGACAACAATTTCTATCAAGATTTTGGCAAAGCTACCATTTTTGAGCTGCTCTTTTATTTGTACTGGAAAGAGATTCATTTAGAAATGTGTTTTGATCAGTTAATCATATACAAATTTTTTTCTATGAATACTTTAAAAGGTGAAAATCTGTTCGAGATACATTGGGAGAATATGGTTAACTTGAAAACTGGTTGTTTCAATAAATGAGCTCGGGCATTTCCTTTAAACTTCAGGGGCGAGGATGGGGGATTAATACAAGAGTTAAAAGCCCTCCTGATACCAAAACCTGAACTAGTCATTATTTTTATCATGTCATCTTCCATCGGCTTGCTGGGCAACATGGCGCTGCTCACAAATGTTAGCCCGCTTGGCCACCATGCCCCTTAATCTAGTACCCTTTTATTGTATCGTTTCTTACCAGTATGTGGTTTTACCCGATAGAACTCACTCTGGTTCTCTACTTCTGTCCCAAGGCATACCTAAAAGTTCTTTCTTGTCCCCTACCCTTTTCTCCATCTTTATCAATTATTTCACTCTCCATCCAACATTCCCAGTCCCATCTATATGCCAATGATGATTAAATCCATCTTTGACCCTGCTGAGTCCTCCAATGGCATCAAGAACGACACCAAACAATAAGTCTTGGGGTCACTCTCAATAAGGCTATCCAAATTTCTGAGAAGAACAAAGCCATCATGATTTGATTCTCTTCTTTCCTTAAATCCTTCCCTGAATAGCCTTGCCTTGCCTTGAACAACACTTTTATCACATTATAAAGGTCAAAAACCTTGGAATCACCTTTGACCAAACCATTTTATGGAAACAGCACATCACTCAAATTTCTCATCAAACCCAAAGTCTAATTAATATTATTTAATGTGAAACCAATTATTCCTTTATTTCAAATGTTTTAACTATTTTTTTTCCTATCTTTATTTTTTAATGTATTTATTTGTTGCTTAATTGAATTTGAAATAATATTATTATATTAAATTATTATTTTACTTTTTACATATTTTAAATATGTATTCGTATTAATGAAAAATAATCTCCATCTAATATTATTCTAAATGGACATAATAAAGAAATCTCAAGATAATAAAGACATTTTTCATATTCCTGGTTGCCTTTAGTTTTTTAGGTACGGATTTGGTTCAGGCCCCTGTTCTGGCTTTTCCTCAGCATCCATCTGTAGACTGAATAATGTTAATTGTCGTGTATAATGTATTTATAATTATAATTTTCAATTCTTTTGAGAAAATGCTCAGTTTTTTACCTAGCACACAATGAAACAAATACCATATGACAAAAAGATGACCTTTCTTGTCAAACGCACAATCCAGAGAAGGATAACAAATGAAATCATAGTAGCATTTATATAAACACACCTTAATGTATAATCCTATGGCGTAGGGAGGTGGCGGTCCCATCGCCCGGTCATTGTACCGCAACCAGCCACTGGCCCTCCAGGTTGGGGGAACACTTACATGAACACTCACACACCAAGTACACTTTATACAGCACACTACAACACCTAAACACTACAGACAAAGGTCACCTACAGTACACACCCTAGGGTACACCCCCCCTAAAGTATCTTATTACGAAACCTCAAAGAGAAGAAGCTGGAATGAATTACGGTAACAGACCCAGGAAACGCCTAAATGACTTAAGAATTGGATTTTGGAACATTTTATCATTACATAGACTAGGAGCACTTTGTGAGCTCCTTGCAGAAGCATACAGAATCAACATAGCAGCTATCCAAGAGGTCCGATGGATAGGACAGGGAATTATGGAGAAGAAGTACCACACACTCTACTATAGCTGTCATGAAAAGCATCACATCTTCGGTACCGGATTTGTTGTGAGAGGCAGAGCTAAACAGCTAGTGATGCGATTTACTCCCATTAACCAAAGGTTATGCTACATTCGGCTTAGAGGAAAATTTTTTAATTTCTCTCCAATCAACTGCCATGCCCCAACAGAGGTGTTACTTGAGGAGGATAAGGAAACATTTTATGAAGAACTTGGATGCGTGACAGAAAGCTGCCCCAAAAATGATGTTAAAATCATTCTTGGTGACTTTAACGCCCAAGTTGGTAAGGAGGTGGCACTCATGCCGACCATAGGAACCCACAGCTTGCATGAGACCAGTAACGATAATGGGCTATGGATGGTGAACTTTGCTACATTGCACGGACTGGTTGTTGGAACAACTCTTTTTCCTTGAAAGAATATCCACAAAGCAACATGGATCTCTCCAAATGGGCAAACAACATCACAGATAGACCATGTACTCATTATTGCCCGTCACAAGTCCAACATGATAAATGCAAGATCTTATAGAGGTGCAAATATGGACACGGATCACTATTTGAGCATTGCCGAGGTCAGATCACGAATTTCGCTGATTAAAAACCACCACCAACGACCAAAGAAGAAGATTGATGTAGCTAAACTTAAGGACTCAGACCACCAATATTCGTATCAACAAGCTGTGGAGACGAAACTTAATGAAGAAGTAATTAGTGACAGCTCTATGGTCGATGAACAGTGGAAGAGATGCAGCAATGCAATGAAACAGGCAGCAGAAGAATCTCTTGGCTACGAGACTAAATCTAGAAGGCCCCCATGGTTTGATGCTGAGTGCCTTCAGCAGTAAAAGTGAAAAATGAAGCCTACAGAAAGAAGGTTCAGCGTCCTACAAGGCTCTCCCAAGAAACATATCGAAGAAAAAGACGCGAAAAGAAGAGATTATTCCGCGGAAAGAGAAGAGCTTGGGAAAATAAGAACATGGAGGACACAGAGGCATTGCGTGGCCAAAATGAAAGTCGGCTGTTCTTTCAGAGAATAAACGAGGGTAGGGCAGCTTTCAGACCCAGAGTGACGGCATGCAAAGACATGAATGGAACTCTTTTAAGCCACAAAGATGACGTACTAAGGAGATGGGTACAACATTTCAAAGACGCATTAAACAGAGGAACGGTGCCTGGAGAAGTAGGAGTAATGAAGGAAGACTCCCTGAATTCTATTGAACCCCCGGATGAGGAGGAAATGGAAAACGCCCTGAGCAAATAGAAAAATGGAAAGGTGCCAGGCCCGGACGGAATCCAGTCAGAGCTGTTGAAATGTGGAGGTGAAGAACTCAAGAAAGCTCTGCATGATTTAATGCTGACCATCTGGGAGAGGTAAGCTATGCCTACGGAATGGGCAACAGCCATTATCTGCCCAATACATAAGAAAGGAGATCAAACAGAATGCGCTAAATATCGAGGAATCTCACTCCTTTCCTGTGCTTATAAGCTGCTCTCTAACATTCTTTTTGAGAGGATCCTCCCGTATTCTGAAAAGGAACTGGGGAAATATCAGGCTGGATTTCGAAGAGGACGCTCAACCACTGATCAACTGTTCTCTCTGAGGATGATCCTAGAAAAGATTATGGAGCATAAGGTAGTCACCCACCATTTATTCCTAGACTTTAAAGCAGCAAACGACAGCGTTGATAGAACGCAACTATACTGTGCCTTGGAGGAGCTAAGCATCCCTCAGAAGCTCATACCCCTAATCAAGATGATCATGGACAGCTCGAGATGTAGAAAACGCGTCGGTTCTGATGACTCCGAAGAGTTTAAAGTGAGCAGTGGGGTTAGGCAAGGGGATGCCCTCGCCTGTCTATTATTCAACTTGGCAGAGGAGAAAGCTGTAAGAGACTCTGGTATTCAGACCAACGATATAATCTTCAATCGCCTGACACAGCTTCTTGGTTTCGCTGATGATATTGACATAATAGGTAGGTCTGAACGGGCTCTCAGAGAAGCGTTTATAGGTCTTGAAGCAGCTGCAAGACCACTTGGTCTAGAAGTCAACGAGAGGAAAACTAAGTATATGAGAGTTGGTGGTGAGGTGGATCTGAACTCTCCATTTGAGGTAGGTTCTTTTAAGTTTGAGAGAGTGAAAAGTTTTATATACCTTGGGTCTGAAATTAATAGCAAAAATGACATGGCTCAAGAAATACAAAGAAGGATCACGGCTGCCAATAGATGTGTCTTTGGACTTGGCCGACACTTAAGAAGTAGGTACCTCTCAAAGAAGACCAAGCTGATCATATACAAGACCCTTGCTCGGCCTGTTTTGACATATGGCTCAGAGGCTTGGACGATGACTAAAATCGATGAGATGAAGCTGAGTGTGTTTGAGCGAGGAATCCTCAGAAGGATTTATGGTCCAGTAAAGGAGGGTGATGTCTGGAGGAAAAGAAAAAATAAGGAGCTCAGTTCTCTCTATACAGACATCGACGTAGTCATATATATTAAACTGGCCAGACTAAGGTGGGCAGGGCATGTGGCCAGAATGAGCACCGTTGAAATACCAAAGAAAATAATGATGGAGGAGCTGCACCTCCTAAGACGGGTAGGAAGGCCGAGGACGAGATGGTTGGACAACGTGGCCTATGATGCGAGAACCCTGCTTGGTGTACGGAACTGGAGAGCTGCAGCAGAAGACAGAGCCAACTGGCGGAGGCTCTTGGAGGAGGCCCAGTCTCGGTAATGGGATGTCGTGGCACATATGATGATGATGATAATGTATAATCCTAATTTACTAGATTAAACAAATTAATATTAATAGTTCCTCACAATGACTTCCTGATGCACTGTTATTTCAATCATTAGCTAAATATAATTATATTTATTATTAAAAGAAAATCTCAATCTTATATACATTCTTTATCACATGAATTCCATTTCAGCTCAATTTTTAAATGAAAGTATCCCATTGATGATCAAGTGCTTCTTCACTCTTGGCACACTCTCTACTCCAAATGGTATATTAATATTTATTTCTACCCGAGCTGCCAAATGCTCTCATAGTCTCTCCATGATCGTATAGGAATGTATACTCAAATGTAAATAATGAATATCAATAAAAAAATAGAAAATTAATAACTGTTTGTAATAATTAATAAGCATGTTGTACGTCATTATTAACATAAGACTACTAAATACAATAAAACATTTTTATTATTTTTAAAATAATAAACTCATTCATTTCATTTGAAACAACCCACATTTACCTTATAGTAATTAAGAAAAATTCTGGACCTTCAAAATCCATAAAGAATCTTGAGTTCCGTGATACATAAAGAAACACTGTTTCTTGACCAACTGTTTCAAACAAGAAGATGAGGAGATCAATATTAAACACTAGTTTTCTTGGAGGATATGATTACTTTATAGAGATTGAGTGAGCATACAGAGAATCTCCAAATCCCAGAATTGATCCATGGTTGATATAAAATAAAATAAATTTTCTATTATAGCTGGAATCGAACTGAAGACCCAGAATTAAAAAAATATATTCATTATTTATCCAATGAATCACTGTCCTCCTTACTTCATTAATAATTTCATTATAATGATTATATTATAAATAAATTTTCAATAATGTAATTTGTTACCTTACAATTATTATTTAAGAACAACAAGGAATATAAATAATTAAAATAAATACATAGTTTTTAATAAATAAAAATTATTAATTGAGGAAGAAGAGAATTTGAGAAACATAAGTAACCTTCACCAACTGTTTCAGAAAATAATAGGAACCTATTTTCTAGAATATATTAAAATAATAAATATTAATACTAAATTAACACGAGACAATAGAGGAAAATAAATTAAAGGTCAATTTGACAGAGATAAATGATAAGCACACCATCAAACCACCAGGCCTTATGTCTTCTGTGAACATATGTCATTATAACTAAAATAAAAAACAAACATGCAAGCCATTAAAATCTTCATGCAATTTATAAAGCAATAATGAAAAAAAAAACAGTTTAAAGCTTACTTGTATTATATTAATAAAACATGAAAAATTAAGTGACTAATATTTGAACTGAATTATAACATTGGTTGAATTTTGTGATTTATTTATAGATTTAAAATAAGCATGCTTAATTAAAAAGGTTCATTATTAAATATAACAAACTAAAACATGTGTGCAAAGTCTAATAGGCTTTGCTTGTAATGATTTTGAAAATTCTTTTTAAGTATTGAAGGGAATATAATTATCTTTTAAATGATTATTTATATCATTAAATATGTAATTTATATTTTTTGATTAATACAGAAATAATGTTTTACATTCTTAGTAACTGTTTTCCTTCTTTTTTTGTGGTATATACTTTATACCCTATGAATTTTATTTTTTAGCTTTTGGACACGGGTTGACCAATGCAGTACAAAGGCCTCAGGGGCCAAAACCCTTTATAACAATAAAATAACATAACATTCCACCCATTCAAGAGATAACTATGACGATGACAAACAGATTTTACCTCACTTAACAGCAAAATAGGTCTAAACATTTTTTTCTTTCATTCCACATTACAATATCTTGCTGTACAATATATACATATATATTAAAATATGTATATTGCACCTATTATGCATAGAAACAAAATAATCAGAAAAAAATCTATTAATAAAGATGGCATCAAGGTGTAATAAATATAAAAATGGTATAAAAAATGTGCTATATGCAGATTCTGGTACATAAATCAGATTGGTACTACAAATGCTTAAAGCTTGTACCACTACAATCCATGAAGAGTCTTGGTTTCAAGTACTTAATAAAAGAATAATATTACTAGGTCAATGGTTGCATAAAGTGATCAAAATCTTGTTTATATATTATTGATGGTGCAAGTGATATCTTACTCATTTATTTGTGAAAAATAATTATGAGTGAAAAATAAAATAAATTATTTTGTATACTTCAGATATAAAAAATAGTATTTATGTTAACAGTATTTATAAGTTTATTACTTTCACTCACCGATATATGAAATATATAGTATGTGGAAAGTATTGTGATCGTGAAAATGTTAGAATCCAAGATTTCAATGGAAATACACTTTTTGAGGTCCACCGAGTCCAAATAACTAAGTCTCACAAAATGGTCTATGTGTCTGTGTATGTGAACAGTCTAGCTCAAAAATGAAAAGTTTTACGAAGCTGAAATTGCATCTTTAAGAGTTGTTTAGATGTTGCAGCAACTTTTTTTGCCAAAATCGGCTAACCAGAAGTGGCACTTTATATCATTGATGTAACAAATTTTTATGATTTTCTAGAAAACGACCAATTCGAAAACTCGGATTTTGCATCTCAGTTACATCTCATACAAGAAAAAAAAAGAAACCTACTCCCATTCAATGCAACTTAGACCCCTCTTTTCATGAAAAGGTTATTGGGCTATTAGCAATAAATAAATGACAGTTACAATAAACTTTAGCTAATCACTATTCAAGTTATAAAATATTTCAAAGTTTCCAAGTAATTTGTAATATATTTTTGTCCAACAATAATCTTTTGACATTCTATAGCGTCTCCAATAAGCTAAGTATGAGGAACTTTTTTCTGTGATATTGATGATTACACAACCATTTATCCAACAAATTAAAAGAAGGAGGATTATCATGCATATTTAAAATGTCTATATTTTAACATGAAAATGTCCATATTAAAAATAACATCATATGGTATTACTGATAATTAATGAAGTAAATATGCTCATAGAACTTAGAAATTTCTAGTTTTTCATAAAATGTTAGCTTCCTATTGATAAGTCAACTTTTACTATGTCATTCCTACCTAGTTTAAAGAGTTTTTTAAAAATTTAATTATAATTATACAGATATATATAAAATTAAATTGAACCGAACGGTTAAAGAAGATTAGAGCATGCTTCAGTAAAACCGACACCTAGAAAATGAAAGTGTAGCGTGAGAAGGGCCTGGTGTATTATGACTGGTGTACCTGGTTCCCGCCCTGCTTGTGGCATGGCCATAATCCAACGGGTTTGTGCAGATCTTCCGCTTTACATGCTGAATCCACGCATCGGTCAAAAGCCTCATTGCGAATCTACAGCCAAGACACAGTAAACAACTTGCTTTATAAATAACTTCACAATAAACTAAAGTAATAATAAAAAAAAATAAAATAAAACAACTGGAAGGTCAATTGGACTCGACCATGGAGGAGAACCAGATTATAAGGATGAGCATTTTGACTAAGGAACAAGGTTGATGTTTCTCAAATTTTCTTCTTCCTTCAATATTAAAGAGAGAATCATTTGTAACCTGGTTTCCTCCCATCTTGTGGCATGGGTAGAGGCCAACTGGTTTGTGCATGTTGTTCTTCCTTGCAGGAGAGTCCAAACATGTTTTGCCACCGTAACCTAAGTTCCTTACCTATTGAACATATTTGGTTAGCAAAATGTTAAATAATAAAACAATAATTTGAATACTGACTGGATGAAGGTATTATTTTCCAAATTTAAATTTAGAGAAAATAATAAATACGTTTTTGTTAATAAAAATAACATGCATTACTGAGCAAATAGTCAGCAAAACATTTTTCAATGTGAAATTAACTAATTATTTTTTAATGAAAATTTTTATGAAACATTTAGTTATCATAATGATGAAATATTATAAATGAATTAAAATAAACAACAAATAATTAATAATCAGGCGTGATTATTTGAAAAAAAATGACATACACAAAATACAAAAGAATAGAGTATTGAAGGCAATACTAAGATGAATTCTAACAATTAAATAGATAATTTTAAAATACATTTTTTAAAACATGTAATTAATATAGTGAAAAATTAGTTTTAAATGATTAATATGATATTACAGTACAATTCTGAAATGGGACCAGATTCTGAAACATCAATGTGATGAGGTTATATGCTTTTTAAATTAAGTATTTACAATGAAGATTTTGTTTTTACATTTCACATATCATCGAGACCATGTTAAAGTAACAAATGGGCAACAATAAACTGGCTCACATAGCGCCAATGATATTATTTGAATTTTCCAATATCCGATTTTGTGTTGTTATTCTTAAAAGGTTGAAATATGCACATAAAATCTTCATCTTTAGAATTGATAAACTCCAAAAACGCATTTTATAATTCCCTTTGTCCATTAAATTTTTTGTCACGTAATTAGTGGTTCAGATGTGATAATCCGTAAGTGAGAAATCTGGAGAGTAGGGTTTATGTGGTAGAGTTTCATATCCATGATCCAATAGTTTTTGTGACATCACACCTGAGACACGTGGCTGGGTGTTGTCATGCAATAAAATAGGCCTCTTCCGATTGACCAAAGATGGCTTCGTTATTGCCAATTTCTGTGACGCATTGCATAGCATACAATTCAGCATTAATGGTCTCTCCAAGATTTAAGAAGCTGTAGTGTATCAAACCAAACGAAGCCCACCAAAAAGTAACCATCACCTTTTTTTGATGAGTTGGGGGTTTTGGAAATTATTCTGCTGCTTCTCCTTTGTCGAATTACTGTTCAGAACGTCTACTGTTTATCATAAAGCATCCAATTTTCATCAAACATAACAATTCTGGACAGAAAAGTCGTTTTTGTTTCGGCAAAGAAGTGTGGCACCAACTTTATAACGGTGGTTTTGTTTGGTGGTCATTTAACCCAACTTTTTGCTTTTTTATCTTTCGAATTGCCTTGAGGTGGTCATCAATGTTCAATTTACTAGGATTAAGTTTCCCTGCAAGTTCTTGAATAGTTGCTCTAGGATTTTCTTCAACCAAAGCCTGCAGAACATCGTCAGCAAGAGGGGAAGTCCTTCCACAAAGTGTCTCTCTGGGAAATTTTTGGACCACCCTTGAACAGTGCATTTATTGTTGTTGTTTCTGGCTGCCTGGCCCCTATTCTGGCTGAGTTTAAACTCGTACAACAAAATTATACAAAAATTTTGTGTTGACATTTTAGTAAAGACTTAATTATTTCTAAGTAGTGAAATGCTACAGAGGTAAACAAACATTATCGTTTGGAAGAGGGTTAATAAGTGTTGACATTCATACAAATGAATAATCCTGTAAAAGTAAACAGTGTGTTATATAGAGCGGTATTTTAAAGAAAACTCAAAATCCTGCATTATTTTCTGGACAACCCAATAAATTGATATTGTACTAACTATTGTAATAAAGATATTGTATCTTTGCAAAGTAAGTTGAAGTGTTTCATTAATTGTTGATTTGTTTGAAATACATGTTTGAGAACGTTTGTTTTATTTAACAAAAAATATAAAACAAAAGCCATAATATATATATATATATATATATATATATATATATATCACTACCGTTATTGCAAAAGAGTGTATGTAAAAATTAATTTTTTTAGATAACAGCATAAAAATCGATTATTTCCTTATGATTTATTACTATAATTTCATATATTTCCCTCTACTATTTTCCATAGTAGCAGACTATTTACTTCAGGTGCAGCCAACAAAATTCCAAAATGTCTTTAGCACAAATAGAATAATATTGTTACATACAACCTTTTGCACCAAGATTAGCCATATATTTTCCCCTATTTTGAATAATTGGGAATTAGAGTTTTTAGGTCTCTGATTCTGATGTAACACTTTTCAAAAATAAAAATCTATAAATGAGTTATTTAAATGAAAATTAAATAAATAAGCAATGCAAATAGAAAAAAAATATGTCTATATAAACATAGACGAGCCTATTATATTTTTTTTATATAGTTTTTATAGTTAACTTATTCACAACAATAATGGTATAATTTTTAAATTTCTATTAAAAAGTAATTTGCTGGCTTAACAATGACAGTATATATATATATATATATATATATATATATATATATATATATATAAATTTCTAAGGATATTTTAAAGGATAAGTTATATATATATATATATATATATATATATATATATATATATATATATATATATATATATATAAATGCAAAGGATATTTGGATATTTTTATGATTAGAATTACAAGTTATGGTAATTTTTTAAATTAATGAATGATAATAAAAAAGAAGAACAAATCTGCATTACCTCTCCAGATGCAACTGCATCTCCTGGTATAAACAGTTCAGGGAATACAGTATCCAGGTACCATCTGAATGATCTGCATTTCAGTCTCTTCCTCAACTCCTTTCGTGAGCTCACATCACCATAATCACCCTGAAAAAATAAACATAGTAATATAAGGGAGCTTTAAATTAGAAATATAGTGATCATTATTAAATATAATGGCTATAGATATTGTTATTAAAATAACCATATTAAGCATGAGAGACATAGTACTGTATGAGAATAAACAGGAAGATGCTCCAGATTTTGAGATCATTTCTACTTTAAATGCATTCCATGGTTTGAAAAAAAAAACATGTTAATAGAGTACATAAACATAAGTTAGAGGTAATACTTGTTTCGTATAAAGAAGTTCAAGAAAACTTTCGGAAGAAAGGATAATTGGTGATGATTAGTTTGTTAGGCTTGAATACATTCTACATAAGCAAGATTGTGAATATCATGACAAGGAATAACAGTTTTATGAAAGTACTTAATAAATAATAAAACAAAAATTAAAATTAAATAAATCTTACCAAGTCATTGCCCACCCGTTGGTAATAATACTTCGAATATTCATCCATCCAGACTTCTGCCAGCCTAACAGAGTTTCTCTTCAACACATTTACTCCGCTCTTCCACTTGTAAGGGGATCTTTTTCGGAATATATGACCAACATGGGAGCATGGCACGATTTCTAGTGTCCCACCACACATCCAGGTCTAAAATATGAAGAGTTAGCTATTGTTAACAGATTATAATTTAGATACAATTTTAGTCCATATTACATCAGTGTACTGAAAAAAAAATGCAAAAATAATGAATCAATACTGTTCAAGACATTTCAGGAAGTTTTTGCCATTGTTAGATGGAGGATTTTCAGAGAGAGGTGTTTAAATATGAAACTTACGAACTCATCTTTTTTTTGACATTGGTCTCTATTCATATCATTAATCTAAAACGTTGAAATCCAAAAATTCCCAGGATATGCCCTTACAGAACATTGACGATATGCTTTTTAGACTATTTAAAATTAATTTTAAAATCTAATTATTAATTTTCAAAAAACAAAATAAAACAGAAAGGAATGAAGGAGGTATGTAACAGCAGATGTGTTGAAAAAAAAAAAATGCAAGAACATTAGATAAAGCACTATTAATACTATAAATTCCATAATTTATAAGCTGCTAGAAAAAAAAATGTAATACCTTGAACGAAAGCTCCAAATTTTCTCCTCCCCAGATATCAAATCCGGAGTCATAAGTGCCAAGCCTTTCAAAGAAATTCTTGTCGATGCTAAACAATCCACCAGCCATTGTTGGACTATATACAGGTTCTGCCTGGTTCTTATGCCGTTTCTTTTCTCTCTCGGGTATTACATGCCAGTTGAACTATAAATGAAAATAGGATTATACTTTTATAAATTAAATCAATCATTTGGTTTTGTTATATTGAGATTCACAGAGCTTAATTTTATATTGTAATAAAAAAAAAAAAAACGCTTCAAACCCAATATTAGGGATTCTAAAGATTTTATTTGACTAATTTAGGCTTATGAGCAGTTGGTAGCAGATTTGTAATAAATGTTGTCATAGCCAATTACTTGTAGGTTCCAGTCAAAGCCCCCAACATTGACACCACCGGCATCTCTCCAGTGGTATTCGAGAGTGCTGTCATCGATGACATCAATAACTGGGCAGACCACAGTGGTTGGATCCCTGGCAATACGATCAAGGAGTGGTTCCAGCCAGCCTTCAGCACACTCACAATGGGAGTCGAGGTAGGTGAGGACTGGCCCTTTTGCATGTTTGGCTCCAAGCAGCCGCGCTCTGATGAGGCCTTCCCTCCGTTGGGCTCTGACGATCTTCACAACTGGGTACATCGCCATGTATTCTTCCAGCTGCCTCTTCAAGTGAGCTAGGTAGAAAAAAAAAAAATGTTTTATATTCTAAAAGAGTATTATATTGATATTTAATAAGCTAGAACTCTTTAGGAGCTTAATTTAGAACCAAGTTCTATTTTATTGGAAGAATACTCTGTTGGTAAAATATTTTTAGATACTTTTTCAAAAAAACGATTGATCAATATCTATTTTCTAAGCGAAAATTAATTTTTTTTTTTTTTTTGTGATAACTATAAAATCACCATCCTTGGGCTGCTAATTAAAAATATTTACAACAGATAGTTTATAAAATTGTAATAATTGTTAGTTTTATTATAGCACAGTCTAGCAGCAGATAAAAGTTTAATCCTCAGCAGTACAATTTTCTTAAACAAGGATATCCACAAGTACACCTAGGCAAGCTCCAAAGAAACAAAAAAACAAATTGACTATGTGCTGGTAGACAAGGAACACCAGAGCTCAATACACAAGATACAAGAAGCTACTGTGGAACAGATTGTGATTCAGGCCACACTCTAATTAGAATTAAATTTTGTCGGAGATTGAGGTGAATTAACAAAACAGAGGGTTAAATGGAAAGAAGAAGATATGAAATCTATAATTTGAAAAATCCTAAAGTAAAAATCAAATTCCAACTTGTGCTGAAGAACAGATATGAACTCATGGACTCAGAGAGCCTCACGGTGAAACAACAATGGGAGATAATAGAGATGGGACTAAAAGAAACAGTTGAGGAAGTGATAGGTATTCAGAAGAAATGGAAAGCTAAGCTGGCTGACTTAGCTTAGAAGTGGTCTTGAGAACTGGACCCTAACCAGCATCCTAGAAAGAAGTATTGAAAGATTTGAGAGAAAACCTCCATACGATAGAATAATAAAGAGCTGCTTAAAGAAACTGGTAAATCAAAATCACATGATATGAAGGTTAAGGTGGGCAGGGTATGTAGCTTGGAGCAATCCATCTGGAAGTCTCTACACAACAATGAATACTTCAAAAGATGTCAAACCCTGTGGAAGACCAAAAACCAGATGGACAGATAGTATTAACAAAGATGCAATAGAGCTGCATGATATAGCTGGAAAGAAATAGCCGAAGATATGTGGAAATGGAGAATGATGGATGAAATTATGATAAAAGTGGCAAAAGATGTATCATGGTGAATACACAACAGGAGACATATTAAACAAGCTCTCCTTGTTAAATTAAGGAAGATAAAATATCAGAGGACAACTTAAATAAAAGTTGACCTCAGATAATTTATCTGAAGTATCTACCTCAAAAGAACAATAAATAATTACCTGATACAATACATCAGTATAGTATAGAAGGCTATAGTAAAAGCTAAGATATTAAAGTAACTATGATACCAAAGATCAAGAAAATTTATGTATATACACAAACACAAACACACAGACACACACACAGACACACACACACACAGACACACACACACACACACACAAACACACACACACACACACACACACACACACACACACACACACACACACACACACACACACACACACACGCACGCACGCACGCACGCACTCACGAACGAACGCACACACACGCGCACTCACGCGCGCGCGTCTATCCTTTTAAATGTAATTACACGAACAATAATACTTTAAGAGATAACTTTTTTATATTTTTTCCATAAAACATGGTTATATTTGACCATTTTGGGGGGAAGGAGGGACTTCAGCCCCAATGCCTCTCCGCCCCCCAGTAGATCCGCCCGTGAACTATAGTGTGTGTGTATGTATGTGTTTGCGCACGCATATATACAAACATGCACATATATATATATATATATATATAATATTCATTTCATTGATTACAACTAACCCATATTGGAGAAGTCATCAACAAGTATAATCTCTCTGATGAGCTCCTTCGGAGACCTATCTATAACTGAGTGAACTGTCCTCAGCAGGACGCTCCAGGCCTCGTTGTGAAAGCAAATGATTACTGAAGTTGGCGGGAGCTTCCTAACGAATCTGTCTGGCTCCTTGCACCAAGGATCCCTTGGGTCTGGAAGGGTCCTATGGAGAGATATCAGGTCAGACACATACTGGTTGAATGCGTTCTTCTCCCAGCCTTCATCGATGAGCTTCTTAACATCAGCACTGATGTTGGAAGCAAGCACAACAGGTTTTCCTACAGGAAAATAATCATTAATGGAATATATAATAAATCTTGGGAATAAGTTGTTTGAAAAACAAATAAATTATTTATTACAGACATTGAATGTAGAAAATATTTCATAAATTTTACATACGATAACGATTTGTCCAACAAGCTTAAGATAAGTCATTTTCTTTCTTATTTGTCATTACAACTGCAATTCTTCTATGAGACTGAATTATGATTCATAGAATGCTATGGCATCTGCTTTTAATTTTTCCATAATCAGTTAACATATACATTAATTTTAATAAATTAAAATAAGATTATCTATTAATTTAGAATAAATTTTTATGTGATTAGACATTAACCATATAGTATGTTTTGGAAGAATGCCCATTTTACACCACATAGTTGAAAGAACTTAGAATACCCCAGAATATATCAGCATCCCTGGGAAACCAGGAAGAAATCCTTACTAAAGTTATGAAGTTCTTACATAATGAAAATCTCATAAAACATATATGACAAGTTTATAACTAACGATCATTTGCAGATTTCATTTTTTCTATTATGATTATTTATTTTAAAGCACATTTATTTATTAATTTTATTTAATTTATTATCATTTTTTCAAAAGTTTATTTATATGATCTTATTATCATTATCTTCAGTGCTGGCCTTAGGGCGATGTAGCCCGAACAATTGTCCAGGGGCGCCGACTGATTTTTAATAATAATAATAATAATAATAGAAAATAACTTTATTCTGGGACAAAGTCCCTTTAGAATAACAAAATAGAACATAATTAAAATACTACATCTGGCCAAAATAAAACAATAATAAAAAAGAGAAAGTAAAGAAAATATTAGGTAAACAAGCTACATACAAAACAAAAAAAAAATCTATATACAAAACACTTAAAACTATGATAATAAAACACTTAAGACTATGTACAGTAGAACAACTTATAATTATACTCTTTTGAAAAATAAAATAATAAAAAATACATAGAGTTCTTCTTTAAAATGAGGTGTGTTTCTGCTAACAAAGAAAAAACAAAGCTGACAATATAAAATATCAGTGTCTTTAAATAATGATTAATATGTAGACTCATCATTGTCAAATGCTAGAGGTACAGATTTAATTATATACCAATACAAAATAATAATAAAAATAAAAATAAAAAAAGCAAACAATAGATGCGGTCAGCGGCATTAAGAGCCGGAAAATATTGTAATATCCCTAGTTAAGTTCACAGTATAGAATAGCACTATCGTTTGATGATGACTAAAAATGTATAATATCGAAAGTTTAACAAGTATCTGACTGTTTTTGGGTTAGGAATTGGAATAGGAGGGATTTGAATATGGATATGGAGGGGGAATGTCGAATTTTGATAGGTAGAGAATTCCAGAAATGGACAGCGCGAGCTATAAAGGAATTCTGAAATGAGGCAGATCTGTGCGAAGGGGTGTAGAGGTCAGAAGGTCGAGATCTTGTTGAAAGGGAATGGACTGAGGACTTGAATTGGAGAAGGTTGTAGGCGTAAGAAGGACGATGGTTGTTAATGATTTGATAGAGGAACGTAGCTAGGAAATATTGTCTTCTAAAGGAGAGGAAGAGCCACCTTAACTCAGTGTAGTGGTGAGAGACATGGGAGTATTTTTAGGGAGCGCTCTTAACTTGTTACAAATTTTTAAAAAATACAAACGTATTAAAATAATTACTTTAAGCCCTATCAATAAAATAACTGTATTAGATAAATATTGAATGAAATAAAATGGAACATTACAAAATGTAAAACAGTTTAAGAAATGAATTTAATTTTTTTAGGGAGAGGGGAGATGACGTCATTGCTCGGGAGTGCCGAATGCCTAACAACGACACTAATGATCTTTAAGTGTATTTATTAATTTTATTTTATTTTTTTATTTTTTATTTATTTATTTTTATTTTGAACCTACCACCTAAATAGTTTAAAAGTAGTGTTATTTAGTTGATCGGAGTTGATAACCTAGATGTTTTGCGCCCAGACATTGAAACAACCAACCAACCATAGCACTAGCGGATCCAGGATTTAATTTTTGGGGGAGAGGGAGAGGGTGGCTTCAGCCCGAAAGCTTTTCTTTTTTTTCATAAAAATAACGATAATTTCTTTGGAAAAAATGAAAGAAACTAACTACCTATATCATATTGCATACAATGGTGTTTAAGTGGTTCCTAAAGTCCTTTTAAATCTAATTACACGAACAATAATACTTTAAGAGATAATTTTTTAATATTTTTTCCATAAAACATGGTTATATTTCACCATTTTGAAGGGAAGGGGGGACTTCAGCCCCAAAGCCCCTCCGCCCCCCAATAGATCCGCCCGTGAACTATAGAAAGAATAACATTCTTTCATATCCCATAAATTTAATTTATCCCACAAATCCTTAACAATACTATACTACACAGGCTATTCCAGGAGGAAATATTAGTAATTTAGGAGCAGATGGTCAACCAAAATGCAGTTCAATGTCACCAACTCCACATTTAAATCACAAGCTCCTCATGATCGGCGCTCCGGGACGACTGCCTCAGTTGCCCTGCCCCAAGGCCGATTATTTATTCTAACCCCCACAAAGTTTATTTAATTACAATTAAATATAACATTCTTTCATATCCCATAAATTTAATTTATCCCACAAATCCTTAACAATACTATACTACACAGGCTATTCCAGGAGGAAATATCAGTAATTTAGGAGCAGATGGTCAACCAAAATACAGTTCAATGTCACCAACTCCACATTTAAATCACAAGCTCCTCATGATCGGCGCTCCGGGACGATTGCCTCAGTTGCCCTGCCCCAAGGCCGATTATTTATTCTAACCCCCACAAAGTTTATTTAATTACAATTAAATATATGACTATAACAAATACAAATATATACAAAGAACAAGGTCCTTCCACTGCCCGAGGGCATTTTAAGGATTGGAGATAGGTAAGGGTAACATATGTAGCACAAGGCATTGTTACTTTCATTTAATGGGTATGGACCGCTCTACTAATTATTTTTTATTTATAAAATATTTACACTATATACCAATTAATGGGTTTGGACCGCAGAGCCCAGACCACATCCTTCGGCGAGTATATCCACCAAAGGGAATTTATCTTGCCACCTCCCTGGTCTGGGTGGTGGTGAAATCTCATTAAACAGCGGGTTTTCCCAGGTCTTCAGCCCACCAAAAAATGTAATGTGCCTCCGACCTATGAACTCAGATACCGAGAGAAGCTGTAGCTCCTCTCGTATGGTAAAAAGAGCGTTATAAAATCGGCGACGGTTTATAAAATCGTTTGAGAATGAAAGCTACGGGAAGAACCGTAAGTGAAACAATAGCTTGTCAAGGAAAATAGATTCGTGCATGCTTAAGAAAAAATACTGGATCTCTTTTGATAAAATTGTAACTACACCATTTCAATACAAGCCCAAATTCCTTCCAATTTCATACCCGTTTCGAAATTTAAGTGTATCATGGAAAATACATTTGCACATGGATAAATAAAGAAACAGATGGAATCTGATACGAAAGCAACTCAAACAATCCTAGAATCTCAGATCAATTATTCAAAATCGAATTAACCGTAGTATGTGTTATGCCTGGCATGGAATTCATTTATTTTCTTCATGTCTAAAAATTGGAATGCGAATGAAAAATTTCGATTCTGAGAACAAAAAAAACTTCTCTTCCTGCGTGAAGAGGTAGCGAGGTACCTAAAAAAAAAAATAAATAAATAAAATGAATGTGATGGGAAATAAATAACGCAATGTCGAGACAACACTGTACCTATTTATCTTTTATCAATTTATAGATTTCATTAAAGTTTATACAACTTAAATTTTCTCAACAATCCAGCATTATATATATTTGGATGTAAAAATATTGTTGATTTAATTAAAAAAGGTAAATGGACAGCTAAAAATATTCTAGTTTTCCATCCTTTTAATATCCTAGGAAATATGGAAACAAAATGACAGATGGTAATAATATTCCAAAAATCATCAACATAAAATCTCAAATAGAAGGTTAATTTTTTTCTTGGTGAATAAAAGGAGGATTTTTCATTAAAAATAATTAGATAAATCTTAAAAGAAAATCACTGGTAGGTACGTTATACAACTTTATTGGTTAATCATGTATTTGTTCAAATCAAAAGAAACCTCAATTACTTGATTAGAAATAATCTTCAACTGTCAAATTTACGTTTTTAAATTTCGGGGATGTAGACCAGTAACGGTGTATTATCATCTAAGCAACAACAGCCTTATGAATTCAACGTAGCGTAACTTGTCATCAAAAGCTGCTAACACATTGCTAAACAGACAAACAACGCACTCGTTAGATGTAATTGTGAAGGAAAGAAATTCATCGGTAATCACACGATGGCATAACTCGGAATATTGGTATGACACAATTAACATTACATAAACGTACACCTGTAATTTCACAAGGGAATCATAACGTGTGCGATGTCATGAGAAACTTTTACTCAAGGAAATATCGATGTCAACACGAAGTATTGCAACAATTCTTTTCAAAAGAGCGAAGAGTAAATACATATAATTTAAAAACTCCAATTAAGAACCAATTCTCAGAAAATGCATACTCAATAAGTAGAGGATTAGTGAGCCAATCGTTATGAATATTCCATCCCAAGCAGAGGAAAACAATGAGAAACTGTTTTTACTTCTTAATAAAGAAAATACAGATATATTTTAGCATTCACGGATGTTAAGAGATATTTATTAAGCATTATGATTATTTTTGGAGCCATCTCCAAATACAATGGTTGAAATATACTTCGTGATTTTTGGTAGGCAAACAAAAACAATTCGGCATGAGGAAGGCTACCTGTATCACTTCAAATTTTGGGTTTTGTTTAGATTAGGCCCGCCAGTTATTTTATCTAGTAACAGTTACTCATTGATAAATTAAAATATCTGGTGTGTCCACTCACACGAATTTCCTATCTATTTCAGAAA